TCGCAAGCCAGGCGTCCAGCCAGAAACGCTCTGAGGCCACCAGCACAGATTCCCGCGCGTGGGCACGGGCGCATGGGGAGGGGGCCATGGCGTCTTCCGCTGCTGCCAATAAGAAAAGAAAAAGCAACGGCCACGTGCCTTCCCCGTGGCTTCTAACGTCGCTCAGAGGGGCTGGTGGAGAGCAGAGCAGAAAAGGACCCTCCCTTACGAGGTGACAGGGCAGGAGGGGGTACCCAGAGGTCCTCCGGCCAAGCCTGTCAGAGGCGTGACCTGTGACGCTGTTGTCCTCCCCCCAGGAGCCCCCTAGTCACGGAGCGTGCCCCCCTAACCCTGAGGCCTTCCTGCCCTCTAGAGCAATCGCAAGAGCCCTGGCATGGACATCAACGTGACGGGCGTGTGGGAGAGGAACGTGACGGGCCAGGGCGTGACGGTGGTGGTGGTGGATGACGGCGTGGAGCACACGGTCAAGGACATCCAGCCCAACTACGTGAGTAACCTTTCCCTGAACAAGGGAGGGAGGGGAGGGAGGGGAGGGAGGGCCACCCCCCAGCTCTCAAACAACTGAGGAGGGATGGATCTAGGCCCCTTCGTAGGACAGAGAAGCCCTGCAGCCAGGTCCGTCCCATTCTGCTCTCCGCGTGGCCAGGCCCCCAGGGGCTTTGGCGGGACAGGGGTACACCTCCGCCCTCCTGCTCCCCAGCCCCTGGTGCCCTCCTGCCTTGGATGCTGGAGATGATGATGCCGCCATCCTGATGCAGCCTAAGGTTGAGCCAGGAGGCTTGGGTTGCTTTCAGAGGTTAGAAAAGGAAGCGGTGAGGCAGGCATCAATTGCAACCCTCTGCTGCCCCCCCCGGTGATGTCTGTTTTTTTGGGGGGGGTTGGCATCCTGCCATTTGCATCCAAGAGTCCACCAAGGGGCTCCCCCCCCCCCCCAGCGGAGAAGACAGAGGCAAGGCGGCCCTCGCAGATCTCCCTCCCATGGAATGTCCAGAGAGGAACAGGGGGCAACTCGTACCATCTCAGCCAC